TGTCGCTCATTAGAGTTGGCCAATCAGTTCGTGACCTTAGATTGCCTGCAAAGCTTGGAGTGCGTTTTCATCGCAGGTTAATCGATTAGAATTTCGGCCAATTTCTTGTGGAAAGTTTAACTCGCAGACGAGTATCGTTGGTTGTTTTCTGGGAGTGATGAAAAACTCAAGTCACCGAGGTAACGAGACCAAATTCTAAAACCGAACCCGATGAAACTCGCATTGGTCTTCTAATAAACAGAAACAATTGATTGGCTGATTTCTGTCGACCAATTACCGCTCGCCTCCTCTGTAATGGATATATGACAGTCATCTGCTAGACAGTGATTAAATCATTCACCAAAACCATTCTGCTTACAATTGTGGGAATGCGTTATTACTATGTTAAACAAGTTAAAGTACGCCTGCGAGTGATAATTATCATGTACATGTCATGCCACATTATCCACCATGTCGGAGAGATGGAAGACGTTCGGCAGTGAAAGCGACTACTATCAACAAGCCATAGAAAACCCCCTTGTCAAAATCTCAATACCAACTAAATGTGTTTGGTCAGTTTTTTAACCAACCTAACTTTTATCCATGGATCGCCAATGCCGATGGAGGGACGCGGTTTGTAATAACAGTTTTGTTACATCAGAAAAATAGTTCCCTTGGTTGAAGCACTTACGGTTCGACGTGAGTTTTCTTATCATGTACTACCGTCTGTGGCTTTTAACAAAGCCAGGTTTAATAGCGCTATATGTCAAACCCAAGTCCCTTTCTATTTATTTCAGACTAAGCTACGAAAACGGCGAATAGGGACAATAAACAAGGACCTCTGCCGCATTCAATTCCCTGCAGTCTTGTATCGTAACCCACTGGGGGGTTTCGCATTTATTCGAGTTCCTTTGATTTTATTAACAAAAGCGTCAGACCTTGTCTTGGTTCTAGTCCTCTGTCTGGAGTTGTTTTACTGCGTTATGACTATGGCGGGCAGGAACAGAAGACCGCTGATTTATCCGCCAACACGAGAGACGTGTGTGCGTAGTGCGCGCGCGCGCGCGTACTGCGTGTTCATTGGGCACTTGTGAACAGAGGTCAGAATGAGTGATGCACACCAATCATCATGCGGCATGCGCGTACAGACAAACTCATGTTGACGGGTCACTACCGATCTGCACGAGAAATGGTCCTGAGTTCGAACGAGGGTGAATTGCAAAAAAACGTTAAAAAAAAACAAATACTGGGGTTTTTGCATTTCCACATTGACGATGAACTTTTATTCTTAAATACAGTTTACTCTGACCATTCAAATAACCCTCTCCCTGACCGTTAAAAAAGTTTTTTTAAGGTGTAACCGTCAATAGTGGACATCGAGCCAAAGTGATTTAATCCAACTCTAATGCATTTCATTTGTTGAAGTGCAAGTCGAATCACACTGTGGCTACCACGTATTAACACAGAAATCCGTGAAGATGAGGAAGAAAGGAGACCACCGTTTACTAGATAGGTGGTCGGCCTGGTTGTGACCTTCTGTGCGTATATTCAGAGGCAGTGCATAACAAGTGTGGTTGTTGACGGACATAGTCTGCGTGACTTGTAAAAATACAAACGGCTGAATGGAGAGACGAATGAAACGGGTAGCGTGGTGGAGGTTCACACAGAGGGGTCTTCGTCATCGTGGTCAGCAGAGTAGAGTAATCGGACCAGATCCGACTCAGTGGTCCCACTGTGGTTCGAGAAAGCATGCTGGTGTATGAGCAGATGAGTTTGCATGGCTGACGGGGCACGCTGCGTGAAGGCGCATGCGACGACTAGTTTGGTGGTTGTGAAGCAACATGATTCACTACACACATACGCTTAGTGCATTGTGTTCACGAGTGGTTTAGGCACTTTTCATGCAAGGTTTGTCGTGAATGCAGACTTAAAAGACAAACGTCCTTGTCCGTCGGTCTTCAACAACACCTACAGATGGACGAAATTTCCCAGTGCGGTCTAGTGACACAGCCTTGGATTGGGCAGAAGAATCGTCATTGGAGGCTTCAAGGTGAAGAGAAACCGAGGTAGTCAGAATTGTCCAGAAATCACGTTGCAGTATTACTGACATTCTCAACTGTGGAATAAACTATTTTTCCGTCCAATTTGTCAAGCACTCCATTTCGTGTCCACCGCGCGCCCTTATTGCCCTCATTCCACCGATCCACTTCCACCATCTACCTGATTTCATTGTCGCCCAACGCACATACAAGCAGGTGCATCACACACTTTAGGAGTACAACGGCTTTCTCCGTTGTGTTGCATCTTTACTTCCCCACAATGGAGATGTGGTTTACTCTGTTCATTGCCCACAGGTAGTGTAGTTACTGAAAAACTGTCAATCGCAACACTAACATCGTCACGAAAACGGTGCCTCTCTTTTTACACAGATTCGGGATGTATCGCAAAAACACCGCATAGTAAAGATAAGTGCATTACAGGTTTCATTTTCAGTCATTTTAAGCTAGACTGTAAGCTTTTGTTTGAAAAGATTTTTACTGGTGTAAATCGCCGCGAATGGCGCAGCAGCGTCATCTTAGACAAATCGCAGTTGGCAACAAAGAGCGTCGGAATAAGCATTAACCGAAATAAGTAATTTATAGAAACAGTCTATCATATTTGGTAATACCTATATATAAGCAATTTATCGACTAAAATTTATAGATAGGATTTTCGGAAGCAGCCTGCATACTTTCGTTTATTGCATGCATTGTTAGTGTTCAGTTAAAACCGATCGCGTGTGATCAATACTTCATTGCATAATCTTCAAATTATAACTTACTAATTCTGTAGTTCAAGTAGCAAGGCTTAGTCTCTACACATTACTGATTGACAGTTATGCTCTGACTGCAGAACTCTAACGAATTACCTGCTCAACTGCCTAAATATCTGCTGGAGTATGTCAGTGGGGCTTGCCCAATTTCTTGACTATTCAGTGGGTTAGGCCTTCTATAGTGCTCTGAAAGAACTCCCACACACAAATCCACACCACCAACGCAACAACTCGTGACGCTTGCAGTGATAAACAAGTCAACTTTACGACTTCATTCGTCCGTGACACCCCTGTGAATCCGAGGGCATGGCGTCGGAGTGCGAAGGTGGCAGGACGAGTCGGACTGGGTGGTTTATTCTCCCACCAAGCGCAGAGTTTTACTGAGTGCATTAACGTAGCTATAAAATACAAGTTACTACTTAACTGCACTCAAGAGATCACATTCCAGGTCTCTTTAGATTACCATGTTGTATCGCAGATAACAAAAGAAGCAGCAGATCTGATGGTCTCCGGAAAGCCGATTCTAGTCCGCGAAACTTGCTTTTCTTTACTTAACTAGGCGATCGCCACTCCCTCGATCTCTTCGATTGCCGTTCATTGTAGTTAACAATCAAAAGATTAACTATCGTGGGTAAAGTGTCCACGATTGCAATTCTGACCTTCCAAAGACCTGAGATCCCACCCAAAAACATGGTTCCTTGGCGGCGAGAAATACCAAGTCACTTTGAAGTGGAATTCAGCGGCAAATTAAGTTAGAAACTAAAGGCCAGCCTTTCGGTGATAAAAGACAAGCCTATGCAGTGGGCGACAACTCGGCTACACTGTTTCTTTCCTTTTCGCCGATCAACCCAATTCAAACGTCCATGGGCATTATGGTGGTGCCGTTGCCTCTATAATGCACTGTGCTATGCGTACTCATATATTTACACGACCAACGTGTTTTTAGGGAACACATTGACCAGACTGCAATGTTAACGACTGTCCATGACACTGGAATATTCACCCTGTACCACGTGAAATATGCGAACTGCAGGTCAAAATTTTTGTTTCTTAATTCATCCACAGAGGTTTGCAATTTAAAACACATTCTCAAAGGCTCAGGTATACAACTTCAAGCTACTGACTGTTCATCCAATGTAAGACACGGTTTTACTTTGCTCGCCTCGAATCCAGGTCCCAGAGGACAGTTTCTCGTTGGGATCATGCATCCATAATTCTTTCCACGGTTTGCTGGATTCGACTTTGTCGGCCAGCACAAACTCACTAACCTAAATACGCATTTATAGGTAGGCCCTCACCAAACCCAACCTGCACTTTGTGCACAATGTCTTCAAGAAAGGTTCACCAACAACTTCAAGAGCTGAATTTAAACGCATGTATTGCCTCAGTCTCATGGTGGCCCGACAAAACTGCTGGTTGGGAAGTCTCACTTCTGATGACCCTTCAGTGCTTCATAATGTCCGATTTCCTGATCGGTTCTCTTTTCACCCCGTTGTTAATTCTTTTTTGTAAAATCCATCATCGTCGGTTGTAGCAGTGATGAGAATTTGTTGATCTCAACGTAAGCTTGAAACAATTTAAGACCTGATGTATTACTATGCACTCTGAGAACGTCTTCATTGAACAGGGACTTTTGATATTATTTGGATCCATGGGGATGCGACTGAAATCGATCCTATGAATGAAAAGACAAAAGCAGTTCGGGAATGCTCAATGCCACGCCTTCCCCATGGCTTGTTCTATTCTTGCTGTCTACTGCCTGTGCCCGAATTTACATGGCACTGCGATGCCACCATCTCTGACAGATGTACCGCAAGGTACGGCCAATTGAGAAACGCAGTCGGCGTTTAAAGTGGTAAGAGATTCAATCCTGGATGTGAAGAGCCTTTGTTACCGGAAGAAAGCGGCAGAGCATGCTTCCCCAAACAGACGCTCCTCTTGACGCATTTCTGCATTCGCAGCCTGATGAACGTTGGAAATAAGTTGGCATTTAATTTCAACAAGCAAATGATCAAACAGAGTAACTTTAACAAAGGAGCTTTATTACTGCTGGTTGGAATGCACGGTGATCCAACAAGGAGAAGGGTAGAGATGGGGTCGTGAATTGGCGCAAGACTGTCAAGAGGCAGAGAAGTAGGTGTGGAGGGGGGTCAGAGTTCAAATTGCAGTCCAGAAGAAAGAAAGAAGGAAAGAACAGAAATGAGATGAATCACTCCTCGCCGTAGCCGTAGACCTTCTGTCCGCCCTCGGTGGGGTCGTAGCCCAGCGTTTCGCCCAGGGTGGTCTTTGCGGCTGCGGCGTCTCCCGGCGCCACCTCCGATCCCCCTCTCAAGGGCTTGTCGTGCACAAGGAAAGGCAAGGCGTGAGCGTGTGGAACACCGTGAACCACAGTCTTGGCCTTTTTAATGCCTACGACCTGCTGCGTTCAATTCCGTCTCTGTATGCTACATGTTTTTACTACTATTTCAATTTGCTTGTGGATGCTTGAAACTGAGTGATAAAGTGTTGTGTTCTATGTCAGGCTAAAATTGCCAAATGCACAGGGAACAATTCTGTCCTAAAATCGGAATGGTTAGCTTGCTTAAGTCGGCGAATCTTTTAGTCAAAGGCTTTTAGTGGGGAGGTAAACTCGAAAACGCAAAATACGCCCAAGTGGCTTTCGCCCCTTCGCTGATTCAGCTAAAATTGGCCTTTAAATGTGCTCGATCAGCAAAAACTAGTGGAATGTCTGGCTGGTTTGGAACAAGACAAAACAAACCTGTGTTTCACCGCGACTGGGCGGATTCCGTAGGAAGAGCAGAAGGGGACTGTACAGGGCGGAGGCAATCGCAATGCCCCAAATTGTCCTACAGTGCAACAAATTGTCACTGGCAACATGAAGAGAGCGCTTGAGTGATGTGTGGCGACAGGTACTTTGACCGTCGTTCAGTAAACGAGTGGTGCTTTGACTAAAACAGGAAACCTACCAGCTGAAACCGACTGACTGCGCCACCGAGCCACCAACCGCAGGACCTAAAACATGTCACAGTCACAGACAGTTATTCACGTTTAATTAATTCCGTGTACATGAAATTTTTATAATTGGTGTCTTGCCGAATTTGAAACCACACATTATGCAGAGATATACACTTTCTACTTAAATGACTCAGTAGTTGCGTGTCAAAATACTCGATTTGGCTGTGGAATCACATGAGTCATGACCTTACCAATGGCGAAGCCGAGACAGAAGGCGACATCGGCAATGGCATACACGCTTCCATAGATGGCGACGTGTCGAAGGTCTACAAGAATTCCCATTTGAGGCATCATTGAAGCGTCAACCATGCCTGAAAATAAAAAGCAGAATAATGAAGGTACGCCGCCATAGGGAGAATCAAATAATCAGATAGCGTTAGTGATTAAACGGTTAATGGCGCATAAAAGGCCTGCATTTGTGATTATTAAATAAAACGTGCTACTTACTGATTCAAATTGATGCATATATTTGTTGTGTGTGTGTGTGGTTAAAGTTAGTTTAGCTTACCCATTGATAAGCCGAGTCCGAAATTTGGAACTATCAAATGTCCCAGTTGCTTACAAAAAGGAATCTAAATTTGAGAAAAAATACGGCAGTGAAGTCAGCAGTTTGGAAAATAGTAAAATAACACTAAAACGCGCAACCCAAGAGTCGCATATTGCAGTTTGATAAGTTGAATTATTCTATCTACCTCTAGGATTTAAGTAGCATCTAATTCACAGCTTTAACAACTTACAAAGGAACCTGAAATTGTGTTGAGTCCCGTGCCACACCAGGTAACCAAATTCATGTTTGGTTGGATGTGTATTCGAAATGTTGACACTCATTTTGCACATTATTTAATGAAAAGTCAGACGCACTTGCTTTGGCTGTCCACTGATGTATTACTGGATTCTGCCATTTTAATATTTTTGAATTACCATCTTTTGAAGCCCCAATCAGTGGGTAGAAATATTAAATAAGTCACCGTAAATTACAAAACTTACACAAAGAAGACAAACACTGCAAAGAATCATCCCTAATAGTGCACTCAGCCAGTGGCCGATGCGGTGTGCCACGCGGCCAAAAACATTCGTTCCCAGGAGGTAGGAGACACTTGCAGGAAGAAACGCGATCCCCTGAGCCCAATTATCCGCGTTCATGTGTTCTTTCATCCACATTGGTAAGGCAGGCTCGAGAATGGCAATGCCAATGTTTCCGAAGGTAAGAGCACCTTTGAAATAAATATGTCATGGAACATCTTGTTACTGATTATAAATAAATAGTCATTAATTGAAAATGTTGGTACCTGCAGCTACGAGAATGTATGGGTCCTTGAGCAGATTCAAAATTGGGGCCCCACGTTGTTGCTCTGGACGAACTGCTGGTTTCAAAATTGCGAGCTGGAGGACTAATAAGAATTTTGCATGTTTGAACCATTTTGGTTCACTAAAAAACCAATCTGGTACGCAGAATTATTTACACTATGTAACTTTAGTATGCCTTATTCAAGCAGCATTTTATCGGGAGTAAATCAGAGCCATGCAATGAGAAATATGTAATTAAAAAAGGCAATATAAACAGCATTTGCATGAATACGCTTTTGCTAATCATCTGTTTCAGAAGGTGCTCTCTGAAATGCGGCAGTGTTTTTATGCTATAAACCCCTGCACAAATTCCTGACTTTTGATTGGAGATCGAAGGAGGAACTGCGTCTCGTGGTCTGGGGCAACCGCTTTGTGTCCATTTGTCGACCGATCCTTAAGAAGTCTCATTCCTACGAAACGTTTGACGTCTTTTATCATTGCACATTTGAAACAATGTCCTACAGTCATAACCAATTGACTATCTGACGTTGCTTCTTGTTCAAAATAAGGGATTAATTACGAACCATTAATACTTCCCACCACTTAATTATCAGGCTGTCGTTGTCAAAATTTGCATAGTTTTTTTTGTATCCAATGCAGAGGAGGGTGTTAGAAAACTTACGTCCATCAAGTAAACAGAGCGAGGCAAGCAGCAGGAAAGGTGCCTTCTTGTCGACGAATTGGTAGAAGATTCCACCGAAAGTTGGACCAACTAAAATGCACGAACAACACGCCAAAGCACATCAGGCAGCAGAAAGTGATCTGCTCATCTCGGTTGTGCAGACTTGATGGCTAATTCGAGACACCCACGAGTGAATGAGTGTTCGGTGGTCTTATCTGAAGTTTGGCCTAACTACCTCCACCTGTTGATAATCATTTGAAACAAACTAGACCAACGCTAGCAGAAGTGCAACTGGTTTAAACTGTATCTGGTTTGTAAGACACCCTAGTTGAGAGTCGTTTAGACCAGCACACATTTGCACATTCTCTCGCCCATACGTCCACTCACGCTTTCTTGAGACAGCAAGAAAGAGGCCACACGGAATGGCAATTTCACTGAAACAAATCTCACCCAAAACACCGAATGCGAGTCCGCTGAGGGCCGTTCCGAAGGCCTTTGTTCTTTCCTTGGGGTCTGTAAAGTACGTGGCGATTGTCCCCATACCTTAAGCACACAAAATTACCAATTTTAGCGTCACATTCGATGCGGCTTATGTGTTTAATTCAATAGAAAACAGGATTTTTTGATTTTTCGGTTGCCTGTTTCGGCTGTCTGAAAGAGCATCTTTGCCTGCATTGCTGGTAGCAATAATATAAACTAAAATTAGAAAAAAATGCAAAAAGGTGGACCGACAGAGCCTGTGGGCGCAGCCGCTTCTCTAACCTGAGACACTGGAACACGCTGAACCGGCGCCCTGCATCGCTCTCGCCACGAGGAGGACGTTGTAGGTCTTGCCAAATGCGAAAACTGCAAGATTCGAAATTAAATGTTAGAATTTATCCCCAACCAACCAATGTTGTGCAGTTCGAACTTTTGACAGTACTACTTATTGAAGGATTAAGCAGTACGCTTTTTAATGTATTTTTAAAAGCTCTCGCTGCCATTCCAATGTGTTTCACAAAACAGCATCGGCGTCCTTGTAGAGCTACCACGGTAAACCTTTTTACCGGAAAAATAAATCACCTTTTCTTCACCCTAGGGATTTGAATGGCGGACAATCTCATTAATGATTGTGTCCACGTCCTAATTTACCCAATAAATGACCTAAATTTCTCCGTTGGTACATTACAATGCCCAAGGCTAGGTTGATAAGTTGTGTCAAATTGCAAAATATTCAGGCAAAAGGTCCAAATTTAATTTGCTTTATTCATTTGGGGCTAAGTATTAGAGTAAATTTGTTTATCTAGGCATGTGTTACTGTAACGTACATGCCGTTAACCGAATGTTTGTCTCTAATGGCATTTACACATTCCATAGGAATGCTTGAGGCTCGAAGCAACCAAGTGTAATAAAAATGATGCAAATGCAAAGAGCTTCCAGCAAAGCCGTCGCATTCCCCGAGACGACACGTCTTAGTCAACAAATCATGAGTCACAGCCTCGTTAAGATCTTGGTTAATGTAGACTTCTGACAATAGCCCGGAGTTAGTGGAGGTGCATAACGGTGAACATGGAAATAACGAGACTGACGCGAAACCGCCGTGTTGCTGACTTACCAACTGTAGACGTAAACATGACCAGGAACCCGGTGAACATGGGAATGGAGTATCCGATTCTATAAAAGAAAGGAGGATTTAGTGTTGAAAATCTAAATAACACTAGGTGTGATTTACATCAGTCGGTATCGTTTAGGCCTCATCCAGTAAAAATTACTTATGCAGGAATTACCAGTAATAGTTTCTGAACTAGAGCTCCATCAGAACTGTAAACTGAATGCTCTTGCAACAGCACCTGCGAAATTTGGCGTTTTTGTAACAAGTTGAGCAGCTCACTATTTTAGGCTAAAAGTTTTTTACCCTTGTCAGCTGTCGACGCAGATTAAAACTTTTAAAAGATCAATGGTTGCAAGTTAGAGCTTGCATTTCACTTTAATTCAACTATCACCTTCCAAAGAATGCGGAAATATAAAGCCTTACGATGCTGAATGCACCAAATTACATGTAGAAGTGTTCGCGATTTCGAATGATGAGGCCTGCCAAAAGAATGCTTGACTTGCGTTTTTTAGGGATAAAATTCACCAACCGATAGGCCCTATTTAAAATTCAGTAACACAAATGACTATGCTTGGGACAGCGGAAAACCAGTAAATCAATCGACATCAAAATCAATTAAACAAAATTGCCGAGGTCGTACTCATTCGAGAAGGGTTTTTGCAGTCTGTTGTTCTAGCTTAACTTACTGTACGGCCGTTAGGCTTCTTAACAGGAGTCTTGAGAATGAATGTTTCCACTGCAAAATGAAACACAATGAATGGATATTTACGCTTCTGTGTTGACTTATTGTCAATCCCACTTCTCTGAATTTGGGAAGGGGTGATGTAACCACTTAAGGAAACCAGCCAATTCCTAGTAAATCCGAGACAGATTAATCAAAATCTTACCCATAATGTTGATTCACTGTTAACACTATTAATTCACTCACTTCTATGGTTTTCTCACAAAATTACTACTACTTAATTGGTGTTCCCGTGTGCTTCAGCTGGCTCACCTATTTGTGAGTGGCCCGACAAACGGATTGACGACCAGCTGAACGATCGATTTTGACGCGAACAGCATCCCAATTCGGAAGTTTTCTCTCTCCATGTGCGACTGGCGCACCTGCTCTGCGATCATTGTCAAATTCAAATCACAGTCCAAAGCGAGCTTGTGTAGGCGCGTAAGCAGACCTTTAGCACGTTTGACTTCCGATGCGGAGGCAGTTGAGGTGTCCAAAAAGTCGCTCGTGGAAAAGGCGACGTGGGCTCTGCTCGCCCATGAGACAGGCGTGAAGTGCATCACCGCATCCATGAGAGTATTCACAAGGAGCTCCTTTGATGTACAGTTGTAAGACGTTGAGTTGATGATTGAGTTTACCAGCTGATGAGCCTTCGCTGTCATCAGAAAACTCGGAATTATGGGTACTAGATTGAAAGTTAAAACATTTCCAGTTAGGGAACTTTGGTTCGATGACACTGTGGCCACCATTCTTTCTGAAACCCTAAGAAGCATAAGGTTTTTACCAAGCAGAGTGTGAGTGAGGCTATACTGATACCGATACAGTTCCTTATGATTGTGATGTACGTTAGCACACTTGTTTTGCCACATCGTTGCCCGGACACGAACTGAAGCCAAATAAAGAATACAAGCGGTTTCATACAGGCACCATTATTTCGACCTTTAGGTATTCACATGGACTTGCCTAGGGTAATTGTTGGTTCTGGACACGACGACACGATTCTCTCCCCGAACGATAAAGTCCTACCTTCTAAAGCAGTTAAAATATTTTGAGAAAACCTTATCATTTATAAATGGGTAGATTTCAAAGTCATTAAGACAAAATCATTCCTGTCAAGACGCTGCCGAAATGTTCAATGCAGATGATACCCCCAGGTACCAGGAGCGGATTTCTCTGGTGAGTGAACTAAAACAGCCCAATCAAATTACAATTTTCTAACGCAATCAGTTTTTATGCATCTTGTCGGCCGTTTTCGTTGAAAAAAATAACGAAATTTGAAAAGCCCTTGGGTTTGCAGATTAAATCGAACATGACTATATCAGCGCATGTTTCACTACAATTAAGCCAAACTCACCCTTGTGAAATTCGTTATGAGACTAATTAATTTTTCTTAGTTTAGAACAGTGAAAACTGAGTTCATTATTCACCGTTACACACACTGTCATGGTCTTGATGACATGCATGCATAAAAAAATATTTTTTCACACCTTGGTTGCATAACTAAAACCATAAATTAGTTAAGCATCCCACGAGTGCATTTGAAGCAAAGCTTGGTGCCTGAAATGATCCCGCTATGACAGTTGCTTGCATCATTTAAAGTTAACTGAGACGTAATCGTTTGCATCATTTATTAGACAATAAATTGCCATTGCAGGCTAAAATCTGGATCATGGGCAGAAGCAGGCTTCTTACCAACAGTTGTCAGCAGCATGTTATCGAGGAAAAGAGCAATTGTGACCATCATTAGCAGAAGGGCGCGGTGAGAAAACATGTTGTTGAGGCGCTCCATGCACTTCTGGCCACACGAGGTGGCATCTGGCTTTGATTCCACGGTAGACTCCTGTCCCATTCCAACTGCTTCTAAAAGGCAAGCATCGCGGTAGTTGTCCTCACGTCATGCTTTGCACGTTTGGGCCGGCAAGTGAAACTCAAATGACTGTGAAGAGGACTGCCGTAAGGTAGAGGCGAAGGAAAGGGTTTTGGCAGTGGACAAGGTGAACATAACTGCCAACACGCATGTTACAACTTATGTATGTTATATTGTTTGTCGACGTATGCTCTTCTACGGTTAAAGTGTTCTCTTAATTAATTGAGTAATTGAAATAGGCGCCATGCGCAGATAGATCATGCAGTGACATGCAGTGATTTCTTGCATTTTCTACGTAGACCTACGACTAAATAACAAATACTTGTTTCTACCTCTATCCACAATCATCTTCTTCCCTAAATCACTTACAGAACGGTCAAAGCTATTGGACTCAACTAACGTGGGAAGATTTCCACCTTTTTATGACTGAGAACTAGTTTTGTAAACTCTTCGTGTGAAATGAAGGCCACTTAAAAGTTGCACAAAGCCACAGCGTTCCCACAATGACTTAACTCAAATAGGTATTATCAAATTTGCAATTTTAAGTGGTTTCGGATTTTTTTCTTATCCGGGGCTACTACGCCAGTAAACTCGCCGTTTTTTAGATACACTTATTTAAGACGACTTTTTTGGAATCGTAGTTTGCTTCTTATATTCCAAATTTTTTAGCAGCAGAAGAATTAGCATTTATGAAAATTCGAGGGATATTACACCTGTTAAATGACTTTAGCAGATTTTGAAAGTTTAGTGGTGATTTCGGGTGTGTAGTGACAATTTTTTTTAAGAATTGAAGGCGTTCGAGTAGTCTTCGAGAGTAGTTTCGCACAGTTAAACGGGATTAGAAGTTACCGCGACTAAACTAAATAACCTACTGTTTGCCGTTGCTGCATTTTCACTACCCCTTATTTCTCAGTAAAGGTAAGTTATTTTAAAACACCAGGACATCTGCTGGGTGAATGGCCAGCATTATTTTTCGGACACAATTAACTCTACACCGTCGGATGGTAGTTACCAGCTAATTTGCAACAAAATCCCTTCGTGGGTGTAAAGGATTAGTGTGCCTTAAGGAAGGTTTCATGTCTTCGGCTCATTTAGCAAGAGTGGAAAACGGTGGCTTAAGTGCCAGCCAAAAATCTGACTCACCAAACTATGCAAAAGCAAGTTTGCTTCATTGGACCTTACAGGTTGGCGATTTTGTGAGACCTCCACGAGTAAAACAATAAATCGTGGTCCCGATCTCTTACTTTTTGAATTCGCACATGCAAGCCAATCATGGAAACCTACGATAGGTTAGTTTTGTTTGTCAAAGTTTTGTACAGTGGATTTCGAACATTCAATTTTGTGAAGGCAGGTTGTGATGAAAGATGGGGCTGCGCCACCTCTGACTGGTTTGCTGTCTAACGGTGTCTAGCGGTGTGGATATCTTTTTTCAAAAATAGTGTTCACGCATGGGGGCAAGAGATTTCCTTTTGGTAAGTGATGCAGTTTGTCAGAGTTCACTTCTTCAGCCAATGACAACCCACCGAGCGGAATCGATCGGTCGCAGCGAATTACGGAGCACATCGGTGGCCAACCACTAAGGCTTCACAACAGAAATATCCTTGGAAAGACAGTTCAGTGTTTGTTTTTTTTAAACCGCTTTGAGCGGCGAAAGATGGATGGGATGTGGAAGATCCAAAGGTGCATTCCTCAGTGCGACTTTCATAACATTGACATTTAATGAAAAAACGAAAGGAAAACTCTGTTTCAAAATATACGATGGTGCGCCTAACTTAGATAACACTGGCCACGCAAATCGTCTCATGCAGTTTCTCATAACTCAGACAAAAAAGTTTGGGTAAAGTATCACGATGGGTCAAATTTGGGCAAAATAACGAATGTTTTAGAATTGAATGTTGCAAGAGACGATTTGCGTGGCCAGTGTTAACTAAGTTGGCGCACCATGGTATATTTTGAAACAGAGGGCTTTCATTATCCTCTCCACTCCATGTAGGAGAAGTTGTTTGTCAAACACCCAGGAAGGCAGAATTCACTTTTTTTAAAATACAACCACCACAGATACAATTTAATGATGTTCCAAGACGACCACTTTTGATGTCAATTTGAATTGTAATAGAAAAGAAAACATTCGAAGGATTTCATCAAAAATCATTTACCTGATTTCAAAACAAATGTCCGATTCTAGGGTTAATAGAGTAAATTTAACTGATTTGTCAAACGGTTTTGTGTGTATACAAAAGTTCGATCGCTGAAATTGTCTATTAAGTAGTGCTTGGGTGACGATGAAAGGACTTATTTCATTTTATAGAAAGTAACCAACGCCGTATGGACATTAATCGCCACCCCAAGATGCTGGTGTTTGTTCCTGCCGTCGAAGATTCTCTCAAAGAAGCCATGCAATTGGATTTATTCTACATATTGGAAAGGTTTACAACCATTTTAATTACGAAATGAACACTACAATGAAGCATTCAAAAAAGAATCCCCTTTTTCATTCAAACGTTTGGCAAAAAGCACAAACAACTCCTGAATACATGGTAAATTTGAAAAATTATTTTACGATATTCAATTATGACTTGTGAAAAATTTGAGGAGTGTACGAAAACGTGCGGAAACCCACAAAAAAATCATGAGTCAAAAGTATCTTGGAAGGTTACCTGGATTTACAAAAAGGATATCCTATGTGTTCAACTTCCGCTTTATTTTTTAATGCGAAAAGTAAATGATTCCTGTGCCCCTATTGGCTAGCCCCCTTTCTACACAATCAGCCAATGGGTACATGAGCAGATTTCCGTGATGATGAAAACTGCGGTACTTTGACAATATTAGTAGAAACAATGTACCTAACTAAGCGACTGACGTAAAAGGAGCGCATTCCAGATGCAAACGCGCATCCAGGAGCAAAATGAAGGCATTGCAAATTAGATATGGATGGTCCTGATTCGGTGGTAGTCGGCTGTCTTGGCTTGGCCTTGCCCCTACATCTTCATTGAAGGGCTTTTAATGATCTTGAAACCCAGAAGCACTGCTGCAACAAAGGGTTCCGGCAAGGACGTGCAAGTGTATAAATTCATATTTGGTCTTTTGAGTAGTTTTGAGCCAATTGAAACCTTAACCTTGCAAGCCTTTCAACAGCTCTTTTTTTAAAAACCGCCACTCGGACAAAATTTGCAAAGGCAAGATTTTGGATTACTCTTTGTGGTCGGAAGACTGACGGCTGAAATGACATTCAAACGAAGGATATGAATAATTTGTAACCAGGGAAAACGAACCAAGGACACTAAGAAATCAACCAAAACTACACCCAATTCTTCGTTTGTTTGAATGAGCTCTAATTGTAAATAGCAAATCTTGACATTGTTGATTTAAATAAAAACTGAACGCTTTTCTTAATTTATAGTAGATTCAACAGATCGTCAATAAATCAATATTGTAAAGCAGCTTTCATAGAAAGGAGCGTCTCCTGTGTAAATTAGAGAGGAACGTGCTTACTAAAACTCCAATCGTCAGCATACTTTGATCGGTGAAACCACATTTTATTGGGTGTCTGGGATGATTTTTCTACACATTAGCTGAAGTACAAAGGTACCCCTACAGCTAGGATGTAGGGGAAGCTGCGTGCACAGAGTGGCTGATATAGTTTTGGCATTTCTTAATCACCTTGTTACGATACAGGAACAGAAAGGGAGAGTCTTAATAAATGGGCTGTGGC